AAACTTCTAATAATACAATAATTTTTCTTCTAAACACTTTTGAAAATAATTTAAAGATTCTCAATAGCCTAAATAATATGGAATACGTGACATGGTCCATTGATTTCTAATTCTGCTGTTATTTGAAGAAACAAAAAACAAATTGGGAAAGAATCAATAGAGCTGGCAGAACATTTTGCAAATACCATTAGGAATATTCAATAATAAATAATAGCTGCTAAATAAGAAAATGTTATTTCTGGATTCTTCTTTCTTGTAATAGACATGTTTAAGGTCTCATCATTGTTCTTTGAACTTTGTTCTATGCATGCTTTTATTTTCAGGCTTGACAATTTGTGGACATAACTGCCTCTTGACTGCAGAATGGATGTCTGCGAGTAAATAGTATGTCGAGTGGACAAGCAAAAAATGACAAAGGAGACATTATTTGTCACAACCAAGTCAGGTGGCAAAGGAAACCTCAACAGTCTCTTTCAGCTACTGAAACCTGAAAAAATAGGTAAACTCTTAATGACTTCATTCTAAGGAAGAAAATAAAAATAGTTTGTTTTTAAAATTTTATTTATTTTATTATTGTTCTGGGGGTACATCGTGACATTTACCAAAGTTCTTACAAAAATCATAGTTGAATCCACCCCCTCCATCATTCATTCTCCTTTATTCCCTCTCTCCCCATTCCTGGAATAGGTTCAACAGGTCTCATTTTTCCATTTTCATACATGAGTACATAATATTTCTAGCATATTCCCCCTCCTACACCCTTTCCTTGTATAAAAATATGGAATGCTTCACTAATTTGCATGTCATCCTTGCACAGGGGCCATGCTAATCTTCTCTGTATTGTTTCAATTTTAGTACATTTGCTGCTGAGGAGAGCATTGTCCTTAAAAATTTAAAACTGGTAGATTTGTATAAAATTTACTCACTCTCATGTAACTTAGATGCAGTGTGTGTTTATTTTGAGCGAAATGAGATGCTGGTTAGAATTTATTTTTGATATGGTGATTTGCTGAGCTGACAGTCAAGCCTAAGGAGGATGACCATGAAGAATCATCCTTTTCTGTAGTTAACAAAATCTTTTCATCTAGTGTTTTGGTGCACCAGTTTTGCTTCTTTGATTTGAGGATAATGGCACTGCTTTAAGAGCATTGCCTTGAGTTCAAATGCTAGCACACCCCTCACGCAATTACATTATTCTCATAGTTACTTCTGTGCATTCCTGTCTTCCCTACTAAAATAAGAGTAATGTTAGATTCCCCTTTGCAACCTTGTAATGTCCTTCAAAAATACACAAGTAAGAAATATTTGTGCAACATAGGAACATCATAGTATAATTAACTTTGGCAATAGTTCTCATTATATAGAAAAAGTAAAGAATTTTGCAGACAGTTTTTATTTTCTACCTAGAGCATAGAAGCTTTCTGCAGCATTATCTTCTACAAATTCCTACTCTACTGCTTGAGCCACACCTCCCAACCCATTTCGCTTTGGTTATTTTGGAGATTAGAGTCTTACAAGCTATTTTGCCAAGACTGGCCTCGAACTTGCAATCCTCCCAATCTCAGTCTCAAGTACCTAGGATTACAGGAGTGAGCCCCTGGCACCCAGCTGTTTTTTTTTTTTTTTTTTAATAAATTAGACATTAAGAAATTTAAAGGAAAATTTAAAGTTGAATTTGTGTATATGTACATATGTAAATGGAAAATGTGTATGTATATAAATATAATATTCCTATTTTTATTTACTTATTTTTTTAACATCTTGAAAAACTGAACTATGAAGTTAAAGCAGAACTACCTTATAATTTTTAGAAGAACTTAAAACATTTTGATAAACTCCACCATTATTTTATAATATGTTTATATAGCAGATAAAGAAAATATAGGTAACATAGTCATTTTATTCTAAATCATCCACCCCAGGACCTAGTGTGTAGTACACACATTTGAGCTTATTGACCTGAGAGTGCCAGAGCGTTTGGGTTGAGTATAGCCTCAGACAGAGCTGCACCCAGGCAGAACTGTGGGTATTGAATTAGAGGTTTGTTCACAAAGGTTATGTAGCTACATGATGGCCTGCTATTCGAATAGCCTTCTTCCAATTCCCCGGGAGGTTGGCACACCTCTTCTATGCTCCTTGACTCTGCTCACATTCTGTAACAGCTCAGTGCAGTGGTCCTGGAGTGGTAGCACATATGTCCTGGTTTTGAATTGGGTGATAAGGAGGATCCCTTTTTCAGAGGTTAAAGCTTAACTTCAATGTTTTTTGTCTAGGTATTTCCTTAGTGATTTTCCAAACGTTTATTTATTATTTCAGCATATTCTTTTGAATAAGCAGATATCATAGTTCATATCATTATATCTTATATACTAATTTTCTGAATTTTATTGCCAGTTTAGTAACACTTAATGATGCATAATTAATTGTGTTTGTTATGTGCAAAAACATTTTTTTTTTGCAGACATTTTCTCAGAGGTTTACTTTGTCTTCCCTATTGAGTAATGTATAGTGGAAACCATAACCCAAGAGGTGTTGCTGTCATCCTTTATTTTGGTACTGAGGTTTGAACTCAGGGCTTCAAACTTGGTAGGTGGGTGCTCTACCAGTTGAGCCATTCCATCAGCCTGCTACTGTCTTTTTTATAGATTCTTAGTATTTTTAATTAAGCTACTGGCCATTAAAATCATCTGAACTGCAGTGCTCTCATCTCTTAGGCATTTTGTACCAGGCTTTAAAAAAATAAAGCAATGTAACAAGATGTAAAGTTTTCTGTTTGTTGGAGTCTTATCTTATTGAGGCTGTGCTCCTCACTTTTG